AGGAAACTTTGGAATCTAATCAAGTGTCTTTCGAAGGACGACAAAGGGGCTGAGAACGGCATAAAGGAACTTGTTGAAAACGAGATAAATATCTCGGATAAGCAAAGCATTGCTGAGATACTAAACTCGTTTTTTGTTGATCAACCGAAGAAACTGGTTGCTGCACTTGGGCTTGGCTCGCTGACTGACCCCCCAACGATGACTTCTATCAGTCAAGGCAATAGTGCTTTTGACCTTCCAAGAATAACTCAGAAGAGAGTTGTAGAGTTACTGTTATCTATCCCAACCCATAAGGCCACCGGAGATGACGGCATCAGCGCCAAAATACTAAGAATTGCAGCTCCAGCAATTGCTCCATCGCTGACGAAGTTACTGAACCACTGCCTGTCTACACAGATCTTCCCTAATGCCTGGAAGATCGCAAAAGTTACCCCTGTTTTTAAAGGAAACGGCAGTAGGAATGAAAAGAATAACTATAGACCGATCTCTGTGCTCCCTATTCTTTCGAAAGTGCTGGAGAAACACATCTGTGAATACCTAGTTAACTTCTTGAAAGAGAATGACTTATTCCACCCTCTCCAGTCAGGGTTTAGAGAATCGCACTCCACTGAAACTGCGCTTATTCGATTGGTAGACCAGTTACTGTTTAACCTTGACAATGATAAAGCCACTGGACTTGTTTTTATTGACTACAAGAAGGCGTTTGACCTGATTGACCATAACCTACTATTGTCAAAATTGAAGGCTCTTGGAGTGGGTGAGAGCAGTCTACCCCTGTTCCGAGACTATCTGAGTGGCAGACCCCAGTATGTGAATATAGACGGACACCATTCTACCCAAAGGGCCTTAACATTGGGAGTCCCACAAGGCAGCATATTAGGTCCAATCTTGTTCCTTGTTTTTATTAATGATCTACCTGCAACACTTCAGCACTCCGTGGCTGATATTTATGCTGACGACACAACTATTAGCTACTCCACCCATTATACGACGGCTCCTAATGATATCTCGGTCGGCCTTCAGACGGATATTGATGAAATCTTGAATTGGTCAGCTGACAACAGAATGATCCTTAATGAAACCAAAACCAAATCTATGCTTGTCACTGGTAAACGGTTAGCCAAGAAAATGGAACAGTCCACCCTGCAGTTAAACGTTAATTCTACTGAACTTGAACAAGTGAACTCGCATAAACTATTAGGTGTCACGATTGACAGCCAGCTTACTTTCGACCAACATGTCGAAAATCTATGCACGAAGTTATCGCAGAGAATTGCCGTGCTGCGAAAAATAAGACGCTTTTTGCCCATTGATCAAAGGAAACTTTATTATAATGCTATGATCAAGCAGACAATGCTTTATGCATCAACCATATGGACATCTTGTTCTGCTGAGAATTTGCAGAAAGTCTTTAAACTTCAGAAACGCGCGGCACGTGTAATTCTCGGAGCTGACACTAAAGCGAATAGCGTACAACTGTTTAGGAAATTGGATTGGGTTCCATTCTTTCATGAGGCAAAAGTAAATAGGTCACTAATGGTGTACAAACGATTGTCTGGGGACTGTCCACCTTATATGTCCCAAATGCTCGTAAGAAATGCAGACATAAATGAAAGATCAAGCAGACATGGACAACTAAACCTCGTCTGTCCCCGATTCAAACGGGAGTCAGAGGGAGGTAGGTCTTTCACAGGATCGACCTCACGCCTCTGGAATACCTTACCACTGGACATAAGAATGAAACCTACTATCAAATGTTTTAAGAAGGCCATGTTAGATTTTTTTAAGAATAGTTATAAACGATTAGAACATTTTATCTTATAGTTTTTATAAACTTTGTAATTTTAGAATTTTAGCTCTTGATCTTTTTCCATAATTAATTAGTTTTTAATCTTTTTCAATAGTTATTTGTAATATATTTTAAGAGGGCCACTGGTTTGTCAGTTTTATACTGTTATGTGTTTTACCCTCTTTAAATAAAGTTGATAATTATTATTATTATAATGTCAAATTAGACCTTCTTATCAATACGGCGGCCATATTGAGTTTATAAGCATTAGCATTTTAATATATTTAAGCTGAAATAGTAATCTTCAGTGGGTTTGTTTGTAAAATTATCAAAACGTAGTTAGCAGCTGGTGTCAAATAACCTACCCGGATTGGTCAATCAAAATCAACAGGAACAACGAAATGTTTCAACGACAACAGTGTCAATTTTTGAGAGAGAATCGACGGTTTCAGATGAATTAATATTTTCGTCTCAAAAACCTCGATGATTCATCCACGGGCCATCGCCATACATTTTTCACTTTTTTATTCTGTTTTATTTATCTCTTCTGAACTGAATATCAAGGCAGCGTCTTGTCAAGGTTAGTATATGCAGTCCTGTGAAAAGGCAGACTACCACCGTGAGAAAGTTTAAAAACGCTGACATTTTGGGGATCAGCTTTTTCTCGGAGCCTAGGCGGCGCGAAACGTCAGTGTTTCGGCAAAAGTTTGCTAGTGTGGTTCATATGCCTTTGATTTGCTAACTTATGGTTGACGATCAGCTAACTTTTTTCAATTGATCCCCGACGGAATCGGCATAAGTTTATTAACCTAGTTAAAAGTAACGAAACTTGTGTAAAAAAAATAGCTTGTAACATTTATATAGGCGAACCCTGTAAAGGAACTTCACAGACCCAAATTGAGATCAATATGTATTGGCCAGACCAATCTCATTTCATTTTTATTATCAGCTTGAAGGAATTGGTATTAAACAGCGATAGAAAAAACTGAGAAACTATGAAGAGGATAAAATAATAAGTTCCCTAACTAATGAGTTGTTTCCTATTTCATCACAACTTCCCAATCATAGCACCACAATTCTTTCTTTATAGCAACAATTGATAGCAGTACATATGTCTACACCTGAGATGAATGTTACTTTGTGATTTTAATTGTCAAAGCGAGCAGAGATTGAAACCTTTATACGAGTTGAGATTGAAAAATTCTTACCTCTATTTCATTATTTTTCCTTTTTTCCGGAGAATTTAGAAGCAATTTCATCGAGATACTTATCTTTCGGACTGACTTCTCAAATTCTATGAACAGGATGTCTTTGGATCGATCATGAAAGATTTTATAACTTAGAGTTTACAAATAAGTTGATGTAACAAGGTAGATGTAAATGTAATATAGATTTACTTGCGTTCTAGTGCAAATGCTGCAATCTGATTAGCTACGCTTCTCGCTATCTATTATGTGATAGATAGTGAAAGAGTGACAAGCCGAACAGGTTGTGGTTGTAATAAACATTTAACATAAGTATGAGCCTGTGTCATTGTTCAACGTTGAACGACATTTTCTGTCAAAGATGTCTGCTAAATCAATTATCATTTTTATTCTTTTTTCTTTTTCGTGGCTTCACCTACAAGAAATCGATTTTACTGTATATTTCGTGCCTTTTTCAAGTTTTCTGGATATTAGTTTGAGTAAAGTATACTCTGTAACTTATGTGATCTTGTATAAGTGTTATAAGTATTCACTTGAAAATATCAAAAAATGTTAAATTAGACTTTACCAATACGGCGGTCATATTGAATTTATACGATTTAAGGAGTATTATGGGATGCCCAGGTGGGTACTCACTTAGTATTTACGCATGCTTTTCGGGCAAAAAGAAAACTTCACTGTGTATTTCTCAGGAAAAAGTCGATCATTATTACATCCCGAAACATGGCACAACGATCTCTTTTCCAATTTCAATATTTTTCTAGGAAAACTTAAAGAAAAATTGACCCGAAAAGTGCGCGTAAATACTTAGCGAATCGCGCTCATGCCTCCTGGGCATCCCATAACCCTCCTTAAATCTAATTAATTCAATATGGCCGCCGTATCGATAAAAAGTTCTATTGGGATTTTTCCTATCCCAGTCAGTATTGGTTGGGAGTCAGGATTTTCAAGCCAAATCGGGTGAATCCGCGAAAGATTGGGATGGTTGGACAGTCTAAGACAGATTTGTTGAGGAGATGGGGGAATTTGCTACCGTGGAATCCTAAAACCCCTATGGCTGGTCTTCAGATAAATTAAGTTGGTAAAACCAATATTTTGAGTTTTATTACCCAACAGGGTGGAACACCAGAGTTTGTTTTGAAAATAACTTCTTCATACATGAAACACATTCTGACAGCTCGTAGTGTCAAAGAAATTTAAACAAAATAATTCGGTGATACCTATATTTCATTTCAAAGGGAAGAGTAAACGATACATAAGGTGAAAACCTTAATCGAATAATTAAGTAAAAAGGAATTTCAAATCATTTTATGAGCTTGCAGAACAGTGTACAACTTTATTATCTAACGAATCGAACGAAGTGTTCGAAAGCGACACGTTGCACGAGCAAGCACGGTTTTCCGAGCTCAGATAACAAAATATTATGACTTACATGAACTCTGAATGAGAAGGCAAGAAGTTTCTGGTAAAATAATCACTAATGTTTGCTTGTCATTGGCCCAAAGCAATAAATCAATGCCTCAAATTTGAAAAGATTTGATCGATATTGTAGAAAGGATCGCTTCCAACCACGCTCTTTTTCGTCCCGATACTCCACTGACCGCGCAGATTATTTTCAGCGATATTGTCAGTGAGTTCACTCCTATATGAGGAATTATAAGGTGTTCACTATAGCTTTAGACATCGAAAGAAAGCTCTCTAAGGGGCTCTCTAATGTTGACATCTTGGTTAACCCGAGAACAGATCCTTTTCCCATTTACCCTCTATGCCGCCCGCTCTTTGAAAAAAAATAAGCAGTTAATGAGAACGAGAAGAAAAATTCCCCTTGTAAATCGGATGAAGGTTTAAAAATGATATAAGGAAAAAATGCACAAACATATGATTTTGTTTGTGGATATAATGAGAATTCATGTTTTGAATTACTCATTTTTTTTTCTGAATTGGACATATGACTGATATTTGGCTTGCAGAAGAAATGGCCGCGCTGTTACAGACCTTATAGTTTCTGAACTCGCAAGTTTTATTCTGCAAATTGTAAACGGGTAACTGTAGACCAGCCTGACTAAAGACCGCGCACTGTGAACTTTAGAGTGTGTAGATTGAATATAGCTGAAACTACCAAGCTAGTAGGCTTATTTTTTTCTGTTCTGTATTTATGGCTCCAGCCAGTTGTTCTCTTTTGCTCGTGGTTGGCACAAGGAAAACAATAGTCAGGAAGGCTTGGAGAAACAAAATGTAAACTCCATTGTGCCATTTTTTTTCATTAGAACAGATTTGTTCTAGATTCTCGCTTTTTTTGAGCATTGTGAATAGTATTTTTTCCCTGTCGAAAACAGTGGAACCTCGATATAACGAAGGGCCAAAGAACTGGCAAAATCGAAGACTCGCTATGAGGAGGGCTCGTTCTGTCTCACACCTTTGTTTCTTCCACGGAGATCGTTTCATGGCCTCATTTGCATTTGATAAAATAGTGACACTTCGTCACTGAAACGCCATGTTTTAATAGCGTTGCTCTTCATCTTATTTTGGGTGGGTAGAAGCTGCTTTTTTAATGATAATCTTTATTTAGCAATAATTTCCATAAAATCCTCTACAATACAAAATATTAACAGCGTAAAAGACGATCCAAAATAGTTCCCTTTCGGCTCACATCTACTCCTTTTTTTTTTTTAAATGTCAAAGTGTCTAGAAACTATAAATAACGGAGTCAAATTTGAACTGATTCAAATTCTAATAATCTGATAAGTAAAAGCATATCTAAAACTATACAGAATAGAGAAAGGTGAATGGTAAATCTAGAACCCTATATACCAGGCTGCTAAAATGCATTAAACAATGTCAATGGCTCCCTCGGCAGCTGCGATTTCAACGTCGCAATTATTATAGTCATACGCAGCGCGGCGCTTCACCCGCGATCCTCGAAGGCAAACTAAGGCCGACCGAAGGAGGGCAAAGGATGTCTTTGCTCGGATCCAGGAAATTGTTTGCGAGTATCGTTCCCCTTTCTTGGCGGCTATCAGCTCGGCCAATCGGCTGTGGTATCTTATGCATTCCATCCCCATCCCTCCCGTAGTTGTAAATACAAGCGGCGT